TAATTTGGATAATTATTTGAATAATTTCTTCAATACAAATCTTTATGATTTAATAAACTGGTCCATTTTAATAATTTCCAATAAAACATTATTTATTAAACTTAGACATGAAAGTGAGTTTTTAAACATCACCATTGATACAGAATTTTAAAAAACTGTAATAAATAATGTGTAATATGTAACATTTATAATCTCAAAATTATACCACTGAATGACTATGTAATTTAATAAAGGGAAGAAATAAGTTCCTTTTGCTTTGACTATATCAACAGACGAAGCAAAGTCAATTACATTTCTATCCATTCCAAACATCAAGAGCATATTCATATATAGGAATACATTTTAAATAAGTACAAAATGTATAACCACAACTATGAACTATTATATCATCAATGGTAATTTAATATTCTCACGAACTTTATTAAATGAACATTGAAAAAGAAGAAGATATTAACTCACCCAAGTTGTGAATAATTGCTTGCTGATTTTGCTAATTTTGTCATTGACCTGGAATATGCCTCTTCTATCGTGGCTCTGTTAAATCAAAGTTCCTTATTATATAAGATCTTGTCTAGTGACCACAAACATAACTAAGTTATCAAAATAAAATTTAAACCACAGAAGCAAAAAGATATCTCAAATTGTATGCTAAAAACAAGTAGCTGTACAGTTATGAATTCCAGCTGATCTTTGCATGCCCTTGGTGCACATACTTTAAAGAATAGCCTGGTATAGAGATAAAGAATTTATACTACTCAAGAAACTTCAATGAGTTAACTACTATTTTCTCTTTAGTACCAATGGTAATTTGAACATAAAGTACAAGTATGTACTATTTTATTCTTTGTCTCTGTAAACTGTGAAATCATTTGTATTTAATATTTCCTTTGGGTACTTTAAAGGAGCTCTGGTAGCATAGTGGTTACAAGTCAGGCTGCTAATCTCACAGTCAGCAGTTCAAAACTACCAGCTGTTTCGTGGGAGAAAGATGAGGCTTTCTGCTCCGGTAAAGATTTATACCATCGGAAACCCTATACAGGGTCACTATGAATCGGAATAGACTCCATGGCACATAATCATCAACCACCACCATCCTTAAAGGAGCCTTCGTAGGGCTGTAGGATAAGCACTAGACTGCTAACCACAGGTTACCAATTCTAACCACCAGCTAGCTCCCCCACAGGAAAAAGAGGAGCTATCTGCTCCGGTAAAGATTTATAGACTTGGAAACCCTATACAGGGTGGTAATGAGTTGGTATCGATTCTATGGCAGTGGATTTGGTTTGAATTTTGGTTTTATGTACTTAAAATGGTTTTATTATTCCTCAACAATCTGGTGTCATTATAATGTACATTTAAAAGAACAAGAGATTGATAATAATCTTTTGCAGAAACCAAACATGAATCATCAGCAAGTCGGAGAACCTGAATTTCAGGGCTTAAATTATTTCATGATTAGGTCTAAAACAAGTATCTCACACTAGAAAATGTGTTTTATATAACCACTACTCAGCATATAGCATTTTCGGTTTAAAATTTCAACAAAAGCTGTAAAATATGGATTCAAAATAAAATAAACTATTTCATACATATAACCTACAAATGTCAAAGATGAGGCTCTCCTGGCCTTAATACTGTTAAGTTCTAATCTTACACTTCCATACTTACCCCAGCTCTTCTTAGTTAGTGCAACCTTTAACATTCTACAACCCCCACTGCTCCTCCATTTACTTTGTTAAGTTCCACCAATGACTCTCTCACCTTCTAATGTCCAAATCACTATTTCTATGTTATTTTTAGTCCAAACTATGTGTTCAGTATTTCTAAATGCCTCAATTATATAATTGGAGTCCTGGTGTGGTGCTGTGAGTTAATGCACTGGACTGCAAAGTAATTTAAACCACAAAGTCAGCAGTTCAAGCTCACCAGCTGCTCCTTGGAAACCCTACACAGGGTCACTATGGGTTGGAACCGATTCAACAGCACTTATACAACAACAACAAATTTTAACTACCTCGTACTAAGCTTATTTCCAAACTCTTTCCCAACCCCATTCCCACAAAACACAGCTCCTCTAAACATAAGGAAATAGCAATTGGAAATGCCTCTCACTAATAGCATTGCAACTTTTTCTACTTCTTTAAGCTTTTCTGTACTTTCATAATTTATTATAATGCAAGTGGAATATGTGGATAATTTTAAGAAATAAGTACAGGAATAAATATTCATGAATTAATGGATAAGCTCAGAAAGAGAAGTACAGTAATAGTCAACTAGACAAAAGTCTCCCAATGAGGATAACTAAAAGAAATAAGGGGGGAGGGCATCAATTAAAATGCTTCATTAAGTTAAACATCAGTAGCCCAAGATCCAATAACAGGGCAGCCAGAGAAGTGAGGCAGGCACGTCCCTTGAGGATATCTGAACATGGTAGATAAGAGGCTAACTAAGTGAAACCAAGCTTTTGAGAGCCTCAAAGAGTAAAGCAAGCACTTAGGAGTCAGATCTGCCAGAGGTAGGAAGTGCGGTGAATCCCATGCCCTCTAAGCTGAGGTTGAACTGTCAGTAGAAATCCCTCACAGTGTCTACAAAACAGACCTCATCCTTATCCAATCCTTATGGCTATCCTATATACTTTCACTAACCAACTAGGCACATACGGAAACAAGACAACATGAATAAAATGCAGCACAAACAAACTAGCCGACTTCCAAATGCCCAGGTTAACAGGCTTAAACTCTGAGTTTATATACTATATTCAACAAGATACAGATTAGATCAAGAATTTCAGTAGTGAGCGGGGAATCATTTTAAAGCAGTATAAAAAACCAGCTAATTTAAAAAGAAAGTGTAAATCTTAGATCTGAAAAAATAATGAAAATTATTCTCTCAATAGATGGACTTAGCAGACAAACAACAAATAGAAGAGAGTGACAAAAATCTATCCCTAAATGAAGTCCTGGTGTGTGGTGTTGTGAGCTAATGCACTAGACTGCAAGGTCAGTTTGGATCCCAAGGTTGGCAGCTCAAGCTCAGCAACTGCTCCTTAGAAACCCTATACAGGGTCACTATGGGTCAGAACCTAAGCAAAGGCATTTAACAACAACATATGAAAGTCAAAAGACAAAAGAATGGGAAACAAAAAAAGTCAGCAGGCACTTAACAACAACAAATGAAGGTCAAAAGACAAAAGAATGGGAAACAAAAAAAGTCAGCACAGGTGTAAAGAGAGAAGCACTGGGTCAAAGTAATATTTAAAGAGATTACACAGGCATACCCTAGTTTCTCTGCACTTTACTTACTGTGCTTCACAAACTTTGTGTTTTTTAACATCTGAAGGTCTGTGACAGCCTTGTGTTTGATAAATCTATGAGCTCCATTTTTCCATTTGCATGTGCTCACCTGTGTCTCTGTGTCACATTTGATAATGCTCAAAAGTATTTCAAACTTTTTCATAATGCTAATTCACACATAATAGATTATAGTATAATATAAACATAACTTTTATATGCAGTAAGATAACTAAAAACTCTGTGTGACTCACTTTATCGTAGTGGTCTGGAACCAAAACAACAATCTCTCTGGGATATGCCTGAAGTCCTGGTGTGGCACTGTTGGATAAGCACTAGACCGCAAGGATGATTTGAACTAAAAGGTTGGCAGTTCAAACTCACCAGCTGCTCCTAGGAAATCCTATACAAAGTCACTATAATTCGGAATTGACTTAATGGCACTTAACAACAACAACGTGCCTGTAATAGTAAAGTTTCCAAAACTGACCAAAAAAAATCAAGCTGCAGATGCAAGAAGCTCATCAAACCCTAAGGAGATAAATAAAAAGAAATCTACCTCTAGTCATAAAGCATCTGCTGCAAATCAAAGGCAAAAAGAAAATGTTAAAAGCAACCACACGCTCCATAAAAATTACATTATAGAGTACAATTAAGATTAGACTAACCATTAACATCCCAATGGCAGATAACAGAATGATTTTCAAAGAATTGAAAAAAAATACTGCCAACTAGAATTCCATACTCTGCGAAAATACCCTGTAGAAATGAAAGTAAATTCCTAATAAAATAATTGGATCTTGGTGATGATCATCAATAGCTACTATTATCACATAGCAGATATAACTGGATACAATATACCTCCAATGAAACACAAAATACCACCTATGAAGTTTTCTTATCAAACTATTGAACTGAATTTTATCAAGCTGCTAGATTTAAATGCCAGTTTATAGGAAACAAGGAGCCCTGGTGGCACTGTGGATAAGGCATCAGGCTGTTCAAACCCACCATCTGCTCCTCAAGAGAAAAATGAAGGCATCTGCTCCTGTAAAGATTTACAATCTCAGAAACCCTACACAGGGTCATTAAGAGTCAGACTTGACTCAGTGGCAGTGGGCTTGGTTTTTTAGACATAGGAAACACAAGGACAAAGGAAAACGTTAAATAAAACTATGCAATTAGTAGAATCCAGGACGTAGAACAAATAATCTGGTTTATTAAAAATGAAAGTGAAGGAGGGAAGAGAAAGACGGATCTATCAGTTAAGAGACTTACATATCAAACAATGCATATAATATATGTATCTTGGAGGGATTATGATCAAAAGAAACCTTGTGTTTGTGTATGTGTTGAAACACTGAGAAAATTCTGTCAATAACTACATTATTTGATGAATTTAAGAAAGTTTTGTTATATTTTTAGATGGGTTAAAATATTGTGTTTATGTTGTTTTTTAAAGCCCTTATCTTCCAGAGGTACACCTGAAATGTTAATGGTCAAAAGTAAATGTTTCTGAATCTTAGATTTGCTGCAAAACATCCAGTAGTACTGGTAGAATATAGGATAGAGATCGTGATGTGATAATTGTTCAAGCTGGGTGACTGCTCTCATATAGGGTTGTTATGAGGGTATACAACAACTACTCTTTTAGTGGTTGTATGGGAGGTAGATATTTTTTTCCCTGTTAATCGCAAGATTAGTGGTTCAAATCCACCAGCTGCTCCACAGGAGAAAGATGAGACTTTCTGCTCCCATGAAGATATACAGCCTTGGACACCCTATACAGGGTTGCTATGAGTCAGACCCAACTCCATTACAGTAAATTTGGTTTGGTTTTTTTGGCACTAACTTCTAATAATTGGTACTTTCATCATCTTCCTGAAAAGGCAAAAATCTTAGAACACTACCTTAGGAGGAGGCTTTAAAAAGTTTATAGAAAAATGGAATTAAAAGATAATGGAATTTTTCCATTAAATTTTAAAAGCCCCTTGTGTGTATCTTGTACCTTTCTGTGTGTGTGTGTGTGTGTGTGTGTGTGTCTTTAATGAACCTCCATGTAACAGTCACGCAGCTTGAATGGAATTTTTTCAAGAATTTTTGCAGTCCCTTTGGATAAGGAATACAAAGATCAAAGCATAGGCACAACTTCTCTTAACAGATGAATAAACAAATTGGGGACAGCCATAAACCAAATCCTTCTCAGCAGTGAAAAGGAATGAATTACTAATACGTGGAACATCA